TTTTTCCAGGTCGTCGAGAAATACGACTGTGTGTTCGCGCGCGATGGATGCACCGCTTTGAAAAGGAGAACTCCCATTGTGAGAACGCTTTCAACGTTTATATCGGCTTTCAACGTCTATATTGTCCGCGATATAGGTTTTCGGATCTTTGGAAATCTTCTCCGGAATGATGCACACGTGAAACACACTCCGATGGTTGGATCGCAGGATTCGATTTTTTGGAAGAGTTTTTTTTAATATGGATTTTATTTTTTACATTACAGTCTGTTGTTATTGATCGCGGCTCAAATCTTTCTCAAGATTTTCCATCGGTTAATTTTTTTTGACGAGGGATACGAGTGTTCTTCTAGATTTTCTCGCTGTATAAAAAAAGGAGTCTCCATTTTATAATTGCTATAATCGTCGTCGTGGCTTTGTGCGATTCGCCAACCCGGCCGCTTTTTTAGCGCTCGTTAATTTATTTTCGCGGCTCGTGTCGATGATAATCTGGCGCGGTCCAGTTGGAACGCGTTCTGCATTGTGCGAGGCCGGGAACAATATCTCGATTTTTCGAGGCCGATTCTCTGGACAGAACAATGGGCAACATTGTTGTACGCGGCCGAGAATTTGGGGCAACGGGATATCAAGACTGTTTTCCTCTTTAATTCTTAATTTTCCTATTCCGCTGCAGCTCTCTTTTCATTTTCTTTGAGAAGATTTCCACAAACGCATACATCACATTCGGGTATTTTTTCGTTTCTGATTCTGATTTGCGCGGTTATTGGGACCCACTGTTATTTATTTCTTTTTCAATTTTTTTAATTGCCCCGCCGCCACGCTTTCAATCGAAAATTCGCGGAAAAAGCGAAATTTGTATCGGATCACGATCGCATATTGGTGAACACGAATCTCCGGGACAATGGCACTTTAGTAATCGATCATCCTATCCGCTGTTATAACGCGATAAATTTTTACGATAGTTGTACAAAAAGGCTGGCTCTCGATGTCACGTCGATGATTCGCATGACTTCTTCATATTTTACGCAAACATATATATCGAAACTCGATAATGTGATATTCGTGTCAATAACTTGATGCATCCTTGGAGAAATCGTACGTGTTTGAATGCTTGATCAAGCTTGTAATTTGTTATACAGTCAATGGCACGTGATGTTGTAGCATATATGGTAAACAAATAAATCGAAATTAATTGGCAAATAATTAACGATTAATAGGTACATTAGACACATATTTGAAAACCGATTATAGTGCTATTACGAACGATATTACGGAACATTGCAAGAATCTCTATACATTGTCCATTGTAGAAACAGATTCTTGATTGATTTTCATCGGATTTGATTTCAGATCGAATTCGAAGTCAGGTTAGAAAGTGAATAAATTATGTTAATAAATATAGACGTATAAGAATTTCTACTGCATCGAAATTCTTTATATTAAAAGACTTAATCAACAAACATTTATTTCTTCTATCACGATTAATTTTACTCAAGTTTTCAACCGTCTAATTTGAAATTGGATCCAATCTTTCGTCAATTTTTCGTTTTTATTATCAATTTCAAAATCGTTATATCGCAGGAAATCTATTCGCGGCAGAACGTGCACGCAATAATGAATATTTATGGAATTCGAAGAGCAAAGCACAAGTTCTCCAGACTTTGTCGAGATGATACGTGCAGAAGTAGTTTTGGGAGGAGGGGAAGGGCACAAACTGTTTGCCAAACCGTGATTTCACGCTTCGAAAACTTGCACCACTGATTTTCTTTATAACTTTGGAACCATACCGTTCGATAAATATTCAAGAAATCGACGTATATCGTTCGACGTCGTGGAAGATCGACGCGGAAGATCAAAAATCTTTGCTTGCTCGAGTCGAGGTTTTTCGCGTTTTCACGATATTACGAAAGCATTTCGACGATTAAACCGTGCATTAAAGACGTCCGCTCGAGAAATCCTCCCGTTCTCGCCACCAACTTTACGAGATCCCGGCTTTTTCCATCTGGGAAATTGCTGTATCTGCAATTACACCTGAAACACTCACAGCCGGATGCGGGGAAAATTTAAAAGTAGCGCCGTGCTTCTAAGAAATTCCAGTGAAACAGGATTGGACTTTCTTCGTGAAAAAAATCTTTTTTGATTAAAATTGGACGAATTGATCACGCGATGATATTTGATATTCCGAAACAAAGATGGACAAAAATATCGATCCATATTTATCATACATCGCTTACGTAACTACAAGTTGATAAATAATTCGGTAAATAATTAATTGTCGACAAATTTAAGTTGGAGTGGAATGGCTCCATCTTCCTCTCACTTCACCTGAACTTAAATTCCTCGCTAACAGCTTGATAAATAAGTTTTCTTTTCTAAAATTCGATTCTTTACCTTACACGCTCCATCCTTAACATTTAAATTATCTTTTACAATTAATTCCCAAAAATTTCCCTCTTAAATATCCGACAACTACCATCGTGTGATCGATGAGGATCCATCCGAAAAAAAGTCACGCCAATATCTCCTCGTATCGAGGAAAACTTGGGGAAACAGCAGGGGAGGAGGGATCTCGACAATTTTCGATTTAATTAAATCGAGGGACAGGGTTGGATTGGAGGAGGGGGCGACGTTTAAGCGAATCGAATGATTTTCGCTTAACGTCCAGATAAGAACGATCCACGGTTTGAATATCTGATAGAGGGGATAGAGCCGCCCTTCCCCCCGTGGGATCGGGAGCCGATGCTTGGAAAATAAGGTTCCGATACGTTTTCCGGTTCAACGAATTGGCACGGAGAGCAGCGGGAGAAATTCGATGCTGATGCAAGTGGATGTTATTCTCGGGCGCGGGTGCATGTATCAGGAAATAAATAACCAGCTGGAAAAGTGCATTCAGCCTTATGAGAGAATATTACACGGAAAAATCCAATGGCTGGATGAATTTTCTAAGACGAATTGTAATTTGTTTAAAGAAAAAGAAAGAAAGGAGGGTCGAATGATGTCGAAGAGCGAAAGAATTCGAAAAGATTTTCAATTTCCTTTTTTTTTTTTTAAGAGTCTTTAATCGCGCTTTTATATCTTCCCTTTATATATAGAGAATGCCTCGTTTCCAAGTTGGCGATTAACGTTTTCAATCAGAGGGGGATAAGACTTATCTCTAAACGGCTGCGAAGCTGCAATTCCCGGGGAGATTTAGGAGCCGCCTTAATGCCTCGACCGTGCCGGCAATGTCAAGAGTCTCGCCCCTTTTATTTAGGCCCGCGCCTATCTCTGGATGTATTCTTAATTAGAAACGATAAGAAAAGGGAGGACTGGTATCGTTGGACGATATCCAGTTCATCTTCGAGGGTTGCAATTTTGAAATTTAAATCGTCGTTGTCGAGAAATATATCTTCTCGGCAATCGCTTCATCAACGCCCCACCCACTCGATTTCAACCCTCCACCCTGTATTTACTGCAATCGTACATCCCGTTAATTTAGGAGGGGGTGATAAGTCTTATCTGGTGTATCATAATTCGAGCAGAGTTTCGCCATTGTTAATTTCGTTCGTAGCTTAAGGAATTTTTATTTCGAACGTGGATTTTTTCGAGCGGGTTTAATGCCGCTCTTAAATACAATTAATTGATAATTAAAAATAATTTTTCATTTATTTGACACGGTATTCATTCACGAACGTATGAATGGAAAGTATGATCGAATATTTCCTGGTATATTTTCAGCAATTATTATCGACCGATTTTTCCGAGATACGATAACAATAGCGCAAGTGATTATTGTCGGTGTGTGTGATACACGAATCTGTTCGACTATTCTACTCGCAGTTGGATCGACGTTTACTTGTATGGCGAACACGTAATAATGAAATTTGAGGAGCTCTCCTTGCCAGCAGCAATCTTACACTCGCGCTGAATCTCGAAACGTAATAACACGGTGTGAAACGGATCAATTTATCGAATTTCAATACTTTCAATAGGAAGAATCTTCTCGAGAGGGGACGACAATGGAAGGAAATCATGAAACTCCGTCTTCGAGTAATTGCCGTTACTACAGGTGTAACGAAATGTCGCGGTTAACGAAGCAAGGATATTATACGAATCATCCTTGATCGATGAAATTCATCCGGTTTGTCGGGGAGAAACTATTTTCTCCGCTCGACAGAGATCTCATTCCCTTTGATATCCGTCACGTATACAAATAATTGTAAAATGCCTCGCGATCTTTTCCATTTTCGGAACAATTGTTTCCATGTTGGATCGAAAGAAAAATTTCGTCGAAGAGATTTAATAT